AATTAACAACGTGTCTGCTCGACGATCATCACCCACGATTGGTGATAGGTGCCAGTCATTTCGACCACCTGGGCATCGTCGTACCAACTGCTACCGGCAGATAACAAGTCCAAACCAAGGCAGATCGAAGTCTGATGCTTACGGCTGATCGAAAGCACCACCCCTGGCTCGGTAGTGAACAGCCGGCACAGCAGTATCGGACATATTGACGAAGATGCACCCCAGTCTTGGCAGAGTATGTTTCTCGCTGGGAGAGGCGGGTCAGTCCTTGACTTACGCTGCTGTCAGTGAACCCCAGGCGATCTCGCAACAATGGCTGATTAATGAGAAACAGGCGCGAAGAATCACGCGCACTTGATACCAAGACTCCCATACTAGGCCCTTACATGTAAGGTAGGTATATTATAGATACAGACCGCCGGGCCTGGTGGCCAGATACCTTGTCCTATCTACTCATCAGCTCCAGCATCATGGTCTCTTTTGCGGTCTTTGCCGCCGCCGTGCTAGGCAGTCTGCCTCTCGCTCTCACTGCACCGAGCGGTATCGCTTCACTTATCAATCATGACACAGTTGGGAAGCAGCTCGAAGCCCGTCAAGGTGGCTACTACTCCTTTTGGTCCGAAGGAGGTGGCTCGTTCCGTTGCAGCCAACAAGGCGGCGGAAAGTACACGTGCAACTGGTCAGGACAGCCTGGTGGTGGTTTCGTCGCTGGTACGGGATTTAAGCCTGGGGGTTCGAGGTAAAGGCAGCAACGGCTTCAAGGCGATTTCCAGAACTGTACTAATGAATCGTACTAGGACAGTCAAATACTCGGGTACATACGAAGCCAAGGGCCCCGGTTACCTCGCCCTCTATGGCTGGACGCGCAATCCCCTCATCGAATACTACATCATCGAGTCTTACGACGTCCTTGCCCCAGGTGAACCTTGGACGCGCAAAGGCAACTTCACTTTTGAAGAAGGCACCTACGATCTGTACACTAGCCAGCGCGTGAACAAACCGTCTATTGAGGGAACTCGTACCTTTACACAGTTCTGGTCGGTGAGAACGGAGAAAAGGGTTGGCGGTACAATCACTACGCAGAAGCATTTTGACGCGTGGAACAAGGCTGGGATGAGGTTGGGCGGTCACGACTATATGATTCTCTGTACGGAGGGATTTGCGAACGGGACGCTGCTGCCAAGTGGAAGTAGCAGCATCACTGTAACTTAGTTGGTGAGAGTTGGCTCATGACTAGCCTAAACTTGTGGAGCCGTAGAACGTGAACGCATTCTTATAGTCTCAATCGTGCGTGTGTCATCTCTCGGGATAGAGGGGAACCTGGATAATCGACTTGATTCATTTACGCTGCCTCTATCCACGCTCGCAGGCCAGAAACGACTCCAATGATCCGTAGGAATTATTATGAATATAATGTCTAGATAGCTTGCTGTATCATCAGTGAGTATGCATACTGAATCACCAACCTATGCGACCGGCTAAACTTGGTTGTGGGAGAAAGACCCTGGATTGCACTGCTCAGATCGTACGATATGCGGGGTCGTATCCAAAAGGGAACGAGTAGCAAAGTGGAGCCGGTTGCTGTCGCCAAATAGACATTTTGATCCTTCGTGCTCGGGGGTCGGCCGCAATGCGACACATCCACGTCAACCTAGGGGGAAAATGCGCACCGAGGAGCCTACCTTACCACCGACTTTTCTAGTTTGCTCGCGATATCCTGATGTAGTCTGAGGAGCAGTTCAATTTCTCCTCTTGCATGTGGTGACTCTCCGCGACCAGAGGTGTTGCCTAGCCCGTGGCCCATGCATAAAGTGGAAGGATGCGCGCCATGGAGTTACAAAGGTGCCGTTGAGGGGCGGCGCGACTAGCGAACGCACATGCCCTGGGCCACACCACCACCGATTGTGAGGGTTGAGAGAACCGCACTCGTAGTGTACATGATACCATGACTGTTTGCACGTACACAGTCACGAACATTTAAGCCTACTGGATTTGGGAGAGAGATCCCATGCCGGGACGACTACGTATATACTGATGGCTCCGAGACGGTAGGCCGGCATCGAGGTATACGACGGGGCGTATTCGCCTGTCAGCAACCGCGTCCAAGGGGTAGATAAGAACAACGAAGACTCCTTCGACGCGCCCTCTTGCAAAGCCTCTTTCGCATCCAGAACACTCCTCTCATCCGCTCGTTTCTACGCGCATCATGGCAGGCACAGTCCTAATCACCGGCGCGAACGGTTCGCTAGCTTTACCATCAGTCAAGTACCTGTTGGAAGCATACCCATCCTTCAACCTGGTTCTTACCGTCCGAGACAATTCAGAGAAAGATACAAACACGCTAAAACTTCGTCAACTTGTAGCCCAGCACCCCAACGGACAAGTGTCTATAAGAAAGCTCGATCTCTCTTCGCTAGAAAACGTTCGGGTATTCAGCAGAGCGCTCCTTGTTGAGATTGAGGGCAAGCAGCTTCCACCCATCCGGTCGATTATCTGCAATGCGATGACATGGAATTTGTCCGGCGGGCCGAAGTATTCGAAAGACGGATACGAAATGTCGATTGCGGTCAACCATCTTGCACATTTTGCTTTGTGTTGCAGGCTCATGTGTGCCATGGACCCAGTTCATGGCCGTATCGTCTTTTCGGGCAGCGGCGCACATCGACCGGAGGAAGCAAGCCTGGTCAAGGGATATCCAACTCATATCCCAAACGATTTGGAACTATTGGTTCATCCAGAACCTGACAAGGAAGGCGAAGAGTTGGGACGAGGCTTCCAAAGATATGCTGTGAGCAAGTTGGTCTCCATCATGGTGATGTACGAGCTCAATCGTCGCCTGAAAGCAGTAAGTCTCCCGTTGTCGAAGACCCTGCTTGGCTTGCAGCCTAACTGTTTCATCAGAAGAAAGATGTAGAGTCCATCCGCGCGGTTGCGGTGGATCCTCTGGATCTGATTACATCGCGGGCGTTCCACCAGCCGCACGTTCCGCGAACAATTCAGATCATGGCTACGGTCGTGACTTGGTTGTTGCCGTTGATTGGCTACTTCCAGCCTCGATTGGTGACCGTCGAGCAAGCTGCAATCGCCTTCGTAGATGTGGCAGTAGCCGACAGATTTGATGGGCAGGAGGGGTACTTCGAAGGGAAGAACAGAGTCGAGAGCTCACAGGACAGTTTAGATGTGGATATACAACAAGCCTTGTGGTCCAGGAGCGTCGAATGGTGTGGGCTGGACAGAGAGGATGTGCCGATGGGATTGTAAAGGAGAGGTTGAGTTGTCAGGGACGTCTGTGGGCGCTCTTAGTGCCAGTCGGCGCGATCGCCGGAAGCTGGGGAAGCCTCAATCGCAGCTCCACCAACCTCTCAAATCCCTCATCATGACTTAGTAACGATGCGCACCATGTGCGCGAAGCGATAAACGCTCTATAACCGATTCGCAGTTTTACCCTCCCATGACTGTACGCGTCTTCATGTCTCTAATATCGGCCCGCAGAGTCGAGCGCGTATAAGCACCACCCGAGACACCGCTACGACGCGTGGCCTCAGCCGAACCTCAGCGCCATGTCCAACGGGTACGCAGCCACTGCAACACGACGCCATACACCACGTCGATTGTGGCACAGCCGAGTGTCTAAACTGGACTTGCAGACGAACCGACCCACAAAGCCCGGCACGACACATTCACAGCCAAGCTCTCAGCTGCCGCTTGGCAAAGCTTGTTCCTTGATTTTGTGAGGGATTTATTGGCGCCACAAAGCTTAGTTGAGCTTAGCCACGCAATCAGTGCATGCACCTCGCAAGGGTTGGCATGCTCTAATGCAGATTGTTATGACAAACGTCTACGTGACACCAATCAGAAGCCATAAGACATGACCGTGAGCAAGCTGAGCCACCCCAGCCGCGGCCGTTTTCATCTGTCACACCGTCCAGACTTGCATCCTGGGTTTGCTCGAGAGATAGCGGCGTCGGTGAGGCGGTGCAGCAGGGCAGAGCGACCAGTTCCAGGCCTGACAACTGGCAGATGTTGAAACATGGACATGCATGCCTGAGGGTCAGGGCTTGATGTGTGCCACCGATGAGGTCGAATGACAAGGCGCGCAGGCCGCAATGACGGAAGCTACTATCCTGGAATTATCGAGCTGGCGAAGACTGTCACGCCTGCTGACCTGCGACCTAGTGATATAAAGAGTCGTGGACATCCGCGAAGGAGAACACTCACTTCCCACCACCTTTTCACTTCGCTGTCTACGAATTTCACCTATCGCACCAACACACAAATACAGCACGTTTGGCTCTTGGGCTCTCGATTCTCTTCACATCCAACAAGACTATTACAGTAAGTGATCCAGGCATGCTACCAGCTACACAACTAACACTCCGTCCAGTATCACCTCCACACCAATACCATCAAGATGCCTGCCAGTGTCGCCTCTTCCATCTCGACTATCATCAAGCCCTCGCCAGCCCCGAAGTGCGGCGAGTCGTGCGACTGCTGCGGTTGCGACGAGTCCTGCTGGTGCACCGTCATGTAGGGCGAGGACACCTCACAGTCGGTCACGATGCTACGATCGACTTCTTGAAGGACACCTAGGTGCTGTCAGCTAGCGAACATCATCATAGGAAAGCTTGCTACAACCCGTTGAATATAGCCACTGTTTTCTCTTGGCTTGAGCCCAATTGCTGTGCTCTCGAATCACTACCTCATCGATTCCCATCTGACCTGCAACGCTATTGCCATACATCAAAACCTCGCTACATCAAGTTCCTACCTGTTAATACCTTTGTTGACCGCGAAGTAACAACATCCCGGACATGACTCGGTTGAGCACAGGTGTACGCAAAAGTGACGTAATTCCTCCATCACAAGAGCGTACCTGGTAAACGTTGCAACAAACAAAAGAGCCTCACGGGCTCTTCCAGTCTTACAGCATACAGCTCCACGCTTTCTTGATACCAGAATTCATCTCCCACTTACTCATATCACAGAATCAAACGTTCAAAATGCCCCCGTATGTCGCCCGCGATGCTGTCCTGAGGACTTCGAAGACGCTTTCGCATCTGTTGAGACCTAATGTTCGCTTTTCTCACACACAGCGCAGGACTTTGCCTGACTTCTCGCTTGAGGGCAAGGTCGCTGTTGGTAGGTAGTCAAGAGAGTCTCTTGACAAGCTAGCTAACTTGCTATAGTTACCGGGTATGAGATCACCAACCCGCGCCATGGGCGGCTACGATCCGTGTCGCAAGATTTTCCTACGTAGAAGCATACATCATCTTCGAAAGTATTCACTTGTCAACATTTACTAGTGTGTACGCAGCAGAATGCGACACGGATCTTAGCTACCCCTGTTGTCCTCTCACGAGACATCAAACACGGTTACAATCAAGCTAATGTGCTATTCAGTGCATCTCAAGGGCTTGGTCAACAGATCCTTGCCGCCTTCGCCCTTTCCGGCGCCCATGGAGCCATTGTAGACCTTAAGCAAGAAGGCGCCGACAAATCAGCCAGTGCCCTCATTGAAGAGGCTAAGAATCAGGGCCTCTCGCCCCCGAAGGTGCATGGCTACGAATGCGACACATCGTCCGAGGAAGGCGTCAAATCTACGTGGGAGAAGATTGTCAAAGACTTTGGGACCGTGGATATCCTCGTTACGAATGCTGGTATTACTGGTGGCGCACCAGCCGAGGACTACCCATTCGAAGACTTCAAACGAATGATCGACGTCAATCTGACTGGAACCTTCCTCTTCTCTCGCACAGCGGGTAAATGGTGGATCGACAACAAGGTCGATGGCCGCATTCTGATCGTCTCATCAATGTCCGGCTCCATCGTCAACCGCCCACAGAAGCAGTCGGCGTACAACGCTTCCAAGGCTGCATCGGCCCATCTCATGAAGTCTCTGGCGTCAGAGTGGGCGCCGCACGGTATCCGCGTCAACGCACTGAGCCCGGGATACATCCAGACCGAGGCTAACGAGGGGGAAGAGATGGAGAAGCTGAGCAAAGAGTGGTTGAAGGATATTCCCATGAAGAGGATCGCCAAGCCAGAGGAGTTCCGCGGGGCGGCCGTCTGGTTGGTCAGTGATGCTAGCAGCTACGTCACGGGTAGCGAGATTATCGTGGATGGGGGATACACTATCTGGTGAGACTTGCTGAGAGTGGGACTATGTACGCACACATCCGAAAATTCTTATCATTTTGGCGACAGGCAAATCTTCCAGTCCCAAATCATCTCGGTGCAACCCACTCGGGCAAATCGCTCGTCTTGTAGCGCCCTTTGTTATGCTCAATCGGTGCTGGCGTTGCTGTCGCAGAAGAAGGCGCATCTTTCTGCACCCTGTCGCCAGAGTCATCGATGATTGCTTGGCCCTTCTCCCTTATCTTCCCTCTCTTCAGACCGAGAACGAAAGCCGCGACAATAGCCAATAGACCGACCAGACTACCAACTACCGCACCTGCAATAACACCTGGACTTGTACCGCGCGAAGCTCTATAGTTGCCTGACGGTGTATTCTCGGGGCTTGGAATTCCACTGGGTGGGCTTGACAAGTCGTTGTCCGAAGTGGTCATGCTGTTCGAGGTAGCCGTAGACTCTGCTCCTGAGTTCGATGTGGTTGTGGATGACGATGAAGAAGGCTCAACAGCTTTGGATACCGCAAACATCATGCTCCGATATCCCCACGAATAGTTGTCCCATACATCATTGTCGCGATGCTCTTTCCATCGAAACACATGATTACTGCCGTTGGCACGATCGTCGGGGACATCGACCGTCCAGTTCCATTGCCCACCTTGCCGCACATCGGTCGTATCCAGTTCTATTGCGAATATCGATTAGTTTCTAGGGGCGGCGGGATGAACAACGTCGATTACAACGTACCAAGTAGTTTTCGCACAAATGCGTCGTTGGCATAGCCTGTAATCCAGAGATCAAGGAGAGACTCGTCGCCGACAGGCCCGTCACCCCAATTCGGCCAATTGTCGTCCCATCGGATAGTTATCTCCTCGCCTTTGGACCAAAATCTCTTCCCGTTAATCCAGTTGGGGTTTGTGAACTCGGCTAAAACAGACGCCGCTAGGTACGACAGGCATAAGAACGCCTTCATCGTAGAGCTGGCGGAGAGAAGACACAGATGCAAGAACTATTTCAACAGAAAGCTTCATAACCCCCTTAATCACTAGGCGGCTGGTTGCGGTGGCTGTCAGCCTTGCCAAGGCTCCCGTGCCGTAATGATGCAGATATCGCAAGGCGCATGAACCCCTTACAGACCGTATTCAGCTCTCGCAACGCAAACTAGAGCATCACCAAATGTGGCTACGTAGGAATAATTCCTATCGTATTTGCTGCATACACGCTACCTAGGTATTCAAGCTCAGCAACTAGATGGTTTCCGAGAATATGTATACTTCTAGCTCGATAGCACTTCTATATCTGATTTGTGTTTTTGCAGGATATAAGACATATTGTAGCTATCCCTGGCAGCAAAATGATAGGTATCGTATATGTTTTCGTTGTCGTGTAGGAAGCCAGGCGGCCAGCAAGTGTTATGCTTGGGACTGCGCGCGCTACTTGAGTCAGGACAGCAGCCGGAAACGACAGCTAGTTCCTCATGCTATTGTCTTCAAGGAGAATAGAGTACGCCTTTAACACAGCCTAGAGCCTGATCTTGGTTCGAGCTACCATCTTATTACGCAAAGAGTGCTGATCATGCGACAGTCATAGGAAACCTTGGAAGTCAATGTGCCCAAGTGTATGAGGACTGGATAATATTCTAAGCATCCTTCACTACCTAGATATTTACGTCTCAGCGCAACCCGGATAATCTTCAGTATCTCAACAATACTTTTGCTTCGTCGCCCAGTCACACATGACTTTTCCGACACAGCTGCAACAAGCGCACACCTGTCATGCACCACCGTGGTCAGCGCCACAATCCCCATCGTCAGCTGCTGAATGCCTTACCTTCTTTTGTTTTACCGCGTTATCATTTCCATCAATACATGTCAAGGTCTGAGCATTCCACCGAAACTTGTTGTAGCAGGCGTTTGCGTTGATGACCGCGGCGCAGTCGTCGCTCCGTGCGACTTCGGCAGTGCACTCTGGGTATGTTTGGGCGGCGCTGAGAGCGAGAAGAGTTGCCAGGACCGCGATAAAGAGCACCATGACGGCTACAGATGATCGAACAGGTGAGAATGGTAGGTTAGGGAGTGTTTGTCGGTGTGTGGTGCCGCTTTGCTCTGCTCAACTATCTGTCATCGGACGTCACTGGCACTGAGCATCCGGACTCATGTATCCGATTGCAACTCGTGCCAGTTGCTTGGAACAATATATTCGGAAGTACCATGCAGTTTGCGGTATCTTGGATGAGAAGGATTGCTGGCTACACCCACGGTCAACTGCAGTCTCTGTAGGCATCGGACGGATCGTCCCGCGTCGTGCACGTTTTCAGCTCCTGTCCTTCAACAACTCTGGAACGCTCTCTCCAGGCGTCTGCTCATTCGAGGGGTTCAGATGAATGGCCTCCTTCATGGAAAGACGACGTTAGATCTTCCTTGGCAACTGAGCTCGCATTCGCTACGCGATATTGGCTTACATTACCCTGGCCCTCGGCTCTTCGCATCGATGCTCGTGAAAGACGGCAGTTGGTAGTATCTTGGGCGTCAAGTCATGTCATTCATACTATGAAGGTTAAACTTGCCATGGGCTGCAAACTGCTGTTTGGTAGCTGTCGATAACATCGGAACGCTGGAGATCGCAGTGACCTAACGACATGAAACTACACATCCTCATCGGTGCCTTCGGGTTGGTCGCGACTGCGAAAGCAGGCCTTTTGCGCTTTGGCTGCGCGCAATTGACAGTCCAGAGACTTGACCCGTTGGTGAACCCAGGCTCGAATCCCTCGCCACATCTTCATCAGATCATCGGAGGTGTAAGACCACCCATCTCCAAACAAGCATTCTACTGCTGACACCGTCAGAACTCCTTCAACGTCACCATGGATCCAGCCAAAGGCCATGATCTGGCGACACAATCGACGTGCACCACGTGCGAGTTTTCCGAAGACTTGAGTGAGGACTACAGCACTGTTATAGATGACGGAGAGATGCTAATGAGATGACTGTAGGCAACTACTGGACCGCAGTCGTGTACTTCAAAGCCAAAAACGGCACCTTCAAACGCGTACCCCAACGAGCGCAACAAGGCATGGAAGGTACCAACGGCGGCATGGTACGTACCTTCTTCTCACCCCATCACAGCCCACGCCTAACATGCATGCAGGTTGTATACTACATGACCGACGCCCTCTTCAGCACCTCGCAAACCACAAAAGTAACAGCCTTCAAGCCCGGTTTCCGCATGCTGATCGGCGACGTCTCGTACCGCTCTCGTGAGGAAGCGCGCGACTTTCGACAGTTGACATATATCTGCATGCAAAACGAGGGTACCCGAGAGCCTGAAACACTCGAGTTCCCGAAGCAGCCTTGCCCGGCCGGCATCATGATTAACCATCGGTTTCCAACTGTAAGAGTTCCGACTTTGCGATTGTACGTTGCATGTATGTACTGACTGCTTCCAGTGCTGGGACGGCGTGAACCTCGATTCACCAAACCACCGCGAACACGTCTCATATCCCGCAACGGGTACATTTGAAAATGGCGGCGCGTGTCCATCCACACACCCCGTCCGCCTGCCCCAGATCCTGCTAGAGACGGTCTGGGACACGAAGCAGTTCAACAACAAGGCCGACTGGCCAAGCGATGGTAGCCAGCCTTTTGTCTGGTCTAGCGGCGACGCGACTGGCTTCTCGACGCATGCGGACTACCTGTTCGGCTGGAAGGACGACTCGCTGCAGAAGGCTATGGATGGGAATAATTATGTGTCGGCGCCGACGCTGAAGAAGCAGAGCATTGCGACGCAGAATAAGTGCAATGTCAAGGATATGGTTGGCGAGAATTTTGAGGGTTGGCTGACAGCGTTGCCGGGTGGGATGCAGGTTGGTTGAGGCACGTCTCTATCAAGGTTCGCTTTGTTGCGTTGAGGTGCTGTGGGTGTATTATTAGTTAGGAAGGTCTGACTCGCTTGCCACTATCGCTTTACTACAGGTACGATTCATGATCCGTGGATGATCAATATAACCGACAAGCTTCCTACTGTGCGATGGATTAATAGATCATATTGATATCTGAAAATGAGCGTTCTGAACACGTTTACTTATACGCTATACCACTAGGGTAGCCACCGAAGTAAATATGTGACAAAGGCGTCCTAGACCGATGGCTGACTTGTCTTTCAATATTCCGGTCGTTGTATCTCCATGTAAAAACTGATCCAGCATCAAGTAAGCAGCCAACCCTGGCGCTCTCAATCGGTTCCTCTGATACCTTGTCAATGATCGCATCCTGTAGCTCAACGGGGAGCTTGCGAAGAGGAGCCATAGTGGGGCTGGTCTGCGTGGCTTGGAGAAGTAGCTCGATAGCTTCTTCAGATGGAGGATGCACCCCGTCAAATAGACGCATGGGCTCCGTATATTTTTCGAAATCCCTGCTTATCCGAAACAGAATAAGTTCCCGCACCGAGAGTATGAGGTAAGTGGAAGTTCTTTCCGCCGAACCAGGAGTGGACACAATCTGCTTCCTGAAGTCATTTCGAATCAGCGTGATCGCATGCGGAGTATGCTGGCATATGACGACGAACGTCCCACCGACCCTGACGATGTGTCCACTTGCAAAGTCCCACTCTGGGAGATTGTCTATCCAGACCAGGTAGCGGCTAATGCTTTGGTGTGCGAGCGTTGCTTCTTCGACCGCAAATTACAGGGTAACAATCCTGACAATAGCATTGGCAAGCCTCCGGAACGTAGAGTTGTTGTAACGACCGCAAAGGACATGCCTCCACTGAAATGCAAAGTCGGCAAGTATCCTAGAGACGAAAGCCTTGCGCCCCTGTACGCGCGGCAGGTCGATGTTCTTGCGTCTCATTTTCCAGAACACCACTGGGCGGCGTGCTGAGTAGACGGATTGCAAGGCATGCTTGGCAAGTGTCGGCGGTGGTTCGCAAGGCTCGAAATCGGAAATGGTTATGGAACGCTGGCGAACAAGGTCGAGAGAAACCCAGAGGTTGCGATCTGTCTGTTCCAATCGCAGAATATCGCGATCAAGGTCAAAGGTCCAGACCGCTCTAACGTGAGACCATCGGCGGTCGTTGAAGGGTGTGAGGAGGTCGTCCCGCTGTTGCCAATCTCGGGCAACCTGCGAGTACAAAACATCAAAGGTAGATTCTACGTCTATGAGCGCTTTTCGCCGTGCATGCCGGACGATGATGGTACTACGCACCTCTCGCTGAACCCGCAAGCCTGCTCGAAAATAGTTGCAGCATGGCATCATCTTCGGCAGAACGATGTCCAGCAAAATAGAAGGCCCCTCGTTCTACGTTAGACGAACAGACCGTGTATAGTATTGTACTGGTAACGTACCTTGCAAGTTAAGGTTGATATACGCTGCCATGGTGAGCCGTGGACGGGCGGGAAGTACAGGGACGGTTGAGCTCTGTGTGGAGGTAACAACAAATCCGGTGCAGTCGGTCTGCGTACGTTGGCAGGCTTGGCAACGCGCCACGTGTGAAGATTGAGACGAGATGGTTAGGGGGAATTAACGGTGGGAAGAAGAAGGCAAGCCCTGGAGAGTGCAAGATTAGGAGGTCCGGAGCGTTAGTTATGGCGACCATGTTGCTGAGTCAACCAACAACAGGATTGCTAGGAATTGCGCGTACATTTTCAGCGGATGTCGAGGCCGCGGGAAAACAGTCACTAAACTAGAAGTAATGAATTTTGTGCCATACAATGCCGCTAACCCAAACACCTTGCTAACGAAAGCAAGTTCGACAGACAGACGATACGCATACACAGAACAGCCCCCCATCATCGTACATCGGCCCCTACCAACAGCTCGCCAGCCGGATAATGCCACTCATATCCCTGAGATCTTATCCAAACGACGATTTCTTTGCAACACCCTGATGAGTGATCAGATACATATAGTCCTCGTTCAGTTTTCTAACAGCGTCAGCACCAAGCATGAGAAAGTTAAGGTCCTCATGTTCAAGACCTGGCTTCCTCAAGCTCGAGCTCTAACTGCCTGATGCGCTCATCCTTTTCACGGTCCGAGGGCTCGGAGCTGGCAACCTTGGTCTTGAGCATCGAGACTTCGCGCAGAAGGAGTGCGATTTGATCGGTTTGGTCCGACATGACCCTGTTTTGCTGCTCAAGCTGTGACTTGATGTCGCCTAGTGCATCGCGGAGAGCGGAAGCAGGGCCACCGGCGCTAGGTGTGGAAGTCGTAGCGGCCGCAGTGGGCGTAGAAGAGGCAGGTGCAGCAGATGAGGTGGGTGTAGAGGATGCTGCAGGTGTGGGACTGTGAGTGGACTTGGCGCTCTCAGGTTCCTTGGAGATAGTGGGGCCCTTAACCTTCTCTTCCTGGCGGGAAGCAGTGAAAGTGCGGCGCTCTGCTGGCTTGGGAATCTCTTCGAAGCTCGACGCGCTCTCGTTGTCCGAAGCATCCTTGTCCGCGAATTTGGAAGCTGCCGACGCCATAGAATCCTTGTTGTCCTTCATAGATGGGGGTGGACCACGAGAAGCGACTGGTGTAGGTATGGGCTCGGGCGCAGGCTTGGGCGGCTCGGCCTTGACGGGGGATGGCTGACTGGTGGCCGGCTGGGAAGGCTTGTAGTCGTTTTCCACCTCTTTGGGGGCTTCGCCCTCATAGACGCTTTCAAGTGAAATCTTGGGCGGCATTGCAGTCTTTCCGCTGAACCAATCGGCAGCCGAAACACCTGGCTTCAGACCTGTCGTAGGCGGGTAAATATCACTCTGGAACATCTCGGAACGGCGGGGGACGATGAATGATACGGGCTCGACGTAGGCATCGTTGACAGTCTTGAAGCAGCGCAGGACCTCGTTCTCGTGCAGGTTGATACCCCGCTTGGGAAGGAAGGCGATACCGCGCTGAGGGTCGCCGGACTTGTATTCGGAGAGGTACTCGAACTTGTCGTTCTCGTATTCGTAGTAGCGGATGTTGCCGTCACTGCGCAAGTTAGTGTATGACGATAGAATTGGGAGGTCAGACGTACCCCTTGCCGGCGAGGTACAAGCACTGTGTACCGTCGTCCCAGAAGGGCATGCAGACACCGGAGATGGAGTCGAGGATCTGGAAGCCGCCAATGGGCTCCTTGGGGTTGCGCGGGTCCCAGAGACCGAGTTGACGGTCGCTCATGCGCGAGAAGCCAGTGGTCGCGATACGGTCGGTCTCACCCATCCACACAGCGCGGCTGTTCTTGGCACCAGGATGACCGGGAACCTCCTGGGCGGGCTTCTCCTGGCGTACATCCCATACGCGCAGCTTCTTGTCGCGGCTCGTGGTGACGAGGAGCGATCCGTCGGCGCTCCATGAGAGCGATTGGACAATGTCGTTGTGCTTGAGCGTGAGCTGTGGCAGACCGGCCTCGACGTCCCAGAGCTTTACGGTGTAGTCGCCAGACGCGCTGGCGAGGACGTTCTCGGCGGCGGTGTTGAAGAGGACATGGCCGACCTTCCTGTGGCAGTGTTAGATGCGAATCTCGACCGAGCGCATCGGCGTACCTCATGTGGCCGCTCAGCTTGGCGACAGGCGCGACATCAGCGGGCTCCTCGGCATCGGTGTGCAGGGTGAAGTTCTCGGGCACCTTCCAGATACCGACTTTGCCGTCGTCAGAGGCCGAGGAAATGAGAGAGTCGTTGAAGGGAGACCTGCGCGCGGTTAGCGTCGTACTCGGCCCTGTCACGCCATGTGCGACCATACCAGTCGGTGTCGAGGACGGCGGCAGTGTGGCCGCGGAAGAGAGGGAGCTGGTCGGGCGCCCGGCCGCGCTCATTGATGGGGATGACGGCAAAGGCGCCACCGCCGCTGGCTTCCCAGTTGACCGAGATGTATTCGGGGTTGGCCTAGGGGGGTGAGCGCAAGTACGACGGGGTCGCGTGCGGGAGAGCTGACCTTGATCAGGTTGGTGTCCCACGCATTCTTGGAGATGCGGAGGTTATCGTAGCATTGCTCCTGCAAGACGGTCAGTACACGTGCGTGCTAGATCCATGGATGGCATTGGAGCGTACCTTTTTGGTGCCCTTGCCAAAGACGTGGCCTGGCAGGCGGTGTTAGCATGTTGGGCTGGGCGGGCGTTGGACATCAACACTCACGGTACTTGGACGCTCGCACAAATCGGCCGGCCATGGTTGCGGGTGGCAGTGACGGGGGTGGTGGCGAGTGTAGGAATGACAGACTCTCCGGCCTCGGGCGTTGGGCTATAAGAGGCGCTGCGGTGGGTGCGAGGGCAATGCGACGGTTTCGAGCGCGTGTTTCGAGTCCTGGGACGCAGTTGCCCCCAGCATGCCTATGCAGGCGCCTTGGCGGTGGGCCCGCGATGCCCGCTCCAATCTCGCCAACGGTCCCTAGTCACCCTCGTCACTCCACCACTCCACTGCAATCCACCAATTTGCAGCTGTTTATGCAGCCCCAGCCCAGCAACCGCATGTTCGCAGCACGATCTCCGACTAACGACTTAGCACAATAGGCCTGAGGCCGGTCCCGAGGTCACGAGAATGCAACTTCTGTATTCACATTTCTTCTTGTGCTAGTTTCCTTCGACTGTCCGTGGTCAATACTTTGCGTCTACTACTACTACCAACAAACACTCAAACCATATTCAGGCAGACCCGTCCCTAAATATCCTCAAACACCTTCCTCTCCGCCCTTGCTTCAATCATGCCTAGCTCTTCGCACCTTCCGCGAAGCCAAATCGTCCACTCGTCGTCGCCAGCAGCCAGAACCACATTTTCTTGCGGGTAGACGACCCACTGTATTCCCGAGAGAGCTTTATCCATACCCTTGTTGAAGAGCTGCGTTTGTTCTTTGCTCCACGATTGGAATATGTCGCAGAGCTGTTCGCGGACATGATTTTTATAAGCATTCTCGACGAGGTGGGTATACCGCCCCATGTATTTGCGCCGTGGCCGTCGACTCTTGCGATCAACGGTTGCATCATTAGGAAATTTCTCTGAGCAACCATCCGTAAGACGCAAGTATGCGATATACTGATCAACCGCTTCGACGAACTCAGTTGCCCATTGCAAAGCTGATGGCGCCTTGTTGTGGAACTCCATAGGATTTTCCAAGTGCGTTGATATCAACGGAACGATGTGGTACAGCATCACCCCTAACCCCATGCCCACGTCGAAGGGCTGAGCCGAATTAGTACGGATTCTGGCAATGATCGCTGGTATTTTAAAGTCGTATCCCATCTTTCTGAGCGCGAGGGTATCGAACGGGTGCTTTTTGGCTCGTTTGCCTGCTTGCTCTGGTGCACTAGTAGTATCTGGTGCGTGCTGGTCTCCATCTATCAGAGGCGCCCCCGCCCTTTTAGCGCCCTGCATCTGTGGAATGGTCATGGCCGGCAGTGAGTGCAGATTCGAATTATGGCTCTTCATGTGGATGATCTCGACTTGCAAGATAAAGACTCCCCCTGGCAGGCCACGGGTGGGAGATTTGTTTTCGTAGTGTTTGCGCTGGCATTGTTGAAGTATGTCTTTGTCACAACACGTTAGCTTTGCTAATAGCATGGCTTTGAGCGGTCTCATGTCCTGTGATGCCTTTCACTACATTGTGTGATATTGAAACTATTCGAGACACTGGGATCGTTCGGAAGCGTGGACAGGTGAACTGGGGAACATGGCCATACACCTACCCAAGTCTTGGACGACAAGGCTGAGCACATGCATGCTGCAGGCACTTATCCGCATCCGGACCAACACCGACGCAAATCACTATGCAGTCTACTATCGCAAGTAAGCTGGCGGGGAACTTCTCGAAGGAATGGAAGCCCCCCAGCCTTCCTCGAGTCACCAATCTGCCGTTCGTGAGACCTACATCGACGTGTGTCATATCAACCCCATGGAGACACCACTTTACAGCACGTGCGACTGTCGCGACAGCGCACTCTCTTCTACCGCCAACGTCCTTTCCATCTTAACATTCGCGTACATTCTGATAGCTGGCACTCTCTACCAGGTGGCTGCGCTCTATCGAGTGAAAAGTGATAGCGACTGGGCTGCAGTGCAGGCGCAAGCGACACGACTACGAGACTTTGCATGGTCGATAGAACGCAGAGACGCTATCAGCACTGAGTTCTTCAAACGGCTCGACGATCTCGATAAGGAGATAGCAAGGAAGCTTCCTGGCAATGTCGCAACAGGGAAATGGCATCTGGTATGGCGGCAGGCAAGGAGCACCTGGGACAGAGCTGAGATAGAAGAGAAGCTATACAGTCTGGCGCAGATGCGGTATGTTTTGACGGGAGTCCTCTATTTTCCCATAGAGTGAGAGGAATAACAAGCTAACGCTCAGTCCACGCATCAGTCTACTATTTCTCGAGAGTGGATTGAATGACGTTGAGCAAGACAATAAGCCGACGGACCAAGTGC